ATTGAATTTATACCACTTGGTGGTTGTTAATTCACATTGAATTTATACCACTTGGTGGTTGTTAATTCACATTGAATTTATACCACTTGGTGGTTGTTAATTCACATTGAATTTATACCACTTGGTGGTTGTTAATTCACATTGAATTTACACCTCTTGGTGGTTTTTAATACACATTGAATTTATACCACTTGGTGGTTCTTAACACATCTTTAACAAATATTGCTTGTTAAATATTAATATTTTAGTAAATACTCCCCGTTCGATGTCCTGTTAACAGACACTTGTTTTATGAAAAGTATTTTATTTTCGATTTTCAAAACGATGATAAATGAAGTACGGAGATCACAATTGTCATGTTTCATTTGTTTGACGAAATTAGAGAATCACAAATGACTTGTGGCTGTAACCACTTATTTGGTAAACGGAAATGATAAACATCATACTTCAGTATTCTACATTTACTGATAGTGAAGATTTTCATAAACCCGGTCAGAAATGTAATTCTTTAAATGTAGGACAAATAACCTTCTTTCCAATTATTGGAGTTCCATATAAATATATATCTTACTGTAATGTACGTAGTGTGTATGTATGTATGTAGCCAAAACTCCCGCGCTACCTATTGACTGGCACCACAACAAAAATCCATAAAAAATCTCACACCTTGGGTATTCAGGATTCAGACAAACGGAACCACTTTTAACTTATAAAAACATTACAGTTTGTATTGTATCAAATTCCTCGAGACTTGGGTTAAAACACAGTAAAAAAAATATTGTAATACATTTAAAAACTTTATTCGTCATTTTCAAATCCTGACTGAAGACAACTGTTTAATTATTTGTTCAATATGGGTTATTTTGTAACTACAGATAATGAAGTGTTTGGTTCGCGAAGATTTTTGTTTCGGGTTCTTAAAAAGGTACAAGTTATGAAATTTAATTTCAATTCTTACTTTAGGGCGTTAGTCCACCATTCATCAAACAAACCAAGTTCAGTACCTGTCCATTAGGATGGTCAAGCTGTAGATATGGTTCCGACTGTCCATCTCCTGGATGCTGTGCTACCATTGATCCTGGGCTCCTGAAGTTGAAGTGTTGTGTACCAGGGAACTACCTGACCGTATTCCAAGCCAAAGGTCGTTGTCCGAGTGCTCCGATACAGCGTAAGTATATCAATAAACTATTATACGATGATTGAGAAATATTGAGTAAATTTCTGAAGAAGTTCTGTAGATCAAGACACACGAGAGTGTGGCCAAAACGACCTGCAGGGCACACTGTGTGTTTGTTTTTGAATTTCGCGCAAAG